GCTTGCATACCTGGTGGTGGGGAGCAGGGATTCTCTGTTGTCTTGGTTCAGCCTCAGTCTTAGGCAGGCCCTGTTTTTCTGGATCTGAGTGGGGGGAGAAAAGGGAGGGGTGTGGATCTTTTTGGTGATCCTGCTCTTGGCCCAGAGGTAGGCTATCATTAATGGTCTGGATCAGAATGTCCTGCCTTCCCCCAGGAATAAAGGGTTGTTTTATTTTTCTTTCACCCTGCCCTAGCTGCCTTGGGAGTGGCAGAGTTTTGCCACTCTTTCCCCAGCAGTGTTAAGATTTTTATTCTAGGGGCGCCTGGGTGGCTCGGTTGGGCACCCGACTTCGGCCCAGGTCATGATCTCTGTGAGTTCGAGCCCCGCGTCGGGCTCTGTGCTGATAGCTCAGAGCCTAGAGCCTGTTTCGGATTCTGTGTCTCCCTCTCTCTGACCCTCCTCCGTTCATGCTCTGTCTCTCTCTGTCTCAAAAATAAATAAACGTTAAAAAAAAAAAAGATTTTTATTCTAGAGAGGGCACCTGGTGGACCTTTGTATTTTTCCTGGAGTAGTGATTGTTTTCCTTCTCCAGACTAGCACTACGGAGGGGCTATCTCTGGCCTCCTGCCTAGTATTTTTTATGAGCATCCAATCCACAGAGATCTGTGGAGAAAAAACGTCTAAGTGTCTATGCTCTTGCTAACCCACACTAGACCTTTATTATTGTTTTTTTTTTTTTAAGTTTTATTTATTTATTTTGAGACACACAGAGAGAGAGAGCAAGCAGGGAGGGACAGAGAAAGAGAGGGAGAGAGAGAATTCCAGGCAGGCTCAGTACTGTCAGTGCAGGTGGGGCTTGAACTCCCAAACTGTGAGATCATGACCTGAGCCAAAATACTGAGTCAGACACTTAACCGACTGAGCCACCCACGTGCCCCTAACCCATGTTAGACCTTTAGTAATTCATTACAAATTATACCTGAATTCTACTTACCTGCCTGTATATTGGTCCCAGCATTCTCCCTCTGCCACAGACCAGCCAGACCTTACATCTCTCCCTGGAGGTGCCTTTTTTTCCTTAAATTTCAGTCCACTTGGTTGCCCTGTAACCTTAGCTCTCTGATGGCTTCAAGAAAAGTCACAGCTTTTTTTTTTTTAATTTTTTTTTTCAACATTTATTTATTTTTGGGACAGAGAGAGACAGAGCATGAACGGGGAAGGGGCAGAGAGAGGGAGACACAGAATCAGAAACAGGCTCCAGGCTCTGAGCCATCAGCCCAGAGCCTGACGCGGGGCTCGAACTCACGGATCGCGAGATCGTGACCTGGCTGAAGTCGGACGCTTAACCGACTGTGCCACCCAGGCGCCCCAGAAAAGTCACAGCTTTTGATGTAAGAAACAAAGCTGAGGAACTGTAGATAAAATTAAATATATAACCCACTGCCCATTGACTGATATTTGAGATAGGCAGAGTATGATATTCTTTCAGGAACTCCCAACTATCTTAATGTTTATACTTTGCTAGAGGGAAAAACAACCTTAGCTTGACAATACCTAGGCCCCTAGGATCCTGTGTGTCTTTAGCATATGAAAGTCTGTTTGGAAACCTCCAGGTACCTTTTACCTTCCCCAACTCCCAAGTATAAGATTGGTTCCTCTGCACAACCCCAGTGCAGCTCTTTCTGTCCACAGGTCCTGTCCCTGTGCTTTAATGAAACTACCTTTTTTGTACTGAAGACATACCAAGAATTCTTTCTTAGCCGTCATCTCCAAACCCCAACACTCCAAACCATATCAGTTATGTAGATTATTTGGCTTTTTCTTGTCGTTGGAGTGGGAGTGATGCTTTCACCATCTTTCTACATCTTAAATCTAATTTGTGATTAAATATATATTTGGTCTTCATCAACTGTTTCTAGACATAGCTCCTATAATTTCCTATATAAGAGCCATAGGGGCTTTTTGTTATAATATTTGTGTTTGTTCTCAATTCCTGAAATAGTTCAAGGGCAATAAAGGTGAAATGGATGTCTTTTGTTATTTATATAACAATCCCCTTTCAACCATACCTCTGAGTTTATGTTAATGAAGTGATTTTTGGAAAACATCTTGATCTCCTAAGGATGGAGGTTGGTTGCTAGAGGAACCAGACCTGTGATTAGGAGATTGGTAATTTAGGTTCAGTCTGACCTCTGGGGAGGGGAGAGGGGCTGGAGATTGAGTCAATCTCTAATGGCCAATGATTTTCATCAATCATGCCTTTGTAATGAAGCCTCCTTAAAAATCCCATAAGGAGAGAGTTTGGAGAGCGCCCAGGTTGGTGAACAGGTGGAGGTCCTGGGTGAGTAGTAGCGGCTTGCTCAGAGAGAGCATGGAAAGTCCACACCCCTTTCCATATACCTTGCCCTAAGCATCTTTTCCATCTGGCTGTTCCTGAGTTATATCCTTTTTATTTTTTTATTTCTTATTTTTTTTTAATGTTTATTTGTTTTTGAGGGAGAGAGAGACAGAGCATGATGGGAAGGGGGCAGAGAGAGAGGGAGACAGAATCTGAAGCAGGCTTCAGGCTCTGAGCTGACAGCACAGAGCCCTACCTGGGGCTGGAACTCACAAGCTGTGAGATCATGACCTGACTGAGCCACTCAGGTGCCCCCCCTGAATTATATCTTTTTTTAATAAACTGGTAATCTAGTAAGTAAACTGTTTTTCTGTGAGCCACTCGAACAAATTAATTGAACCCAAGGAGGGGGCAGTGGGACCCTTCAATTGCCAGGCATATTGGAAGCCCTGGTAACAACCTGAACCTGCATTTGGCATCGGAAGAGGGGAAAGTTTTGTGGGACCGAGCTCTTAACCTGTGAGATCTCCAGGTGGATAGTGTCAGGAGTAAGTTAAGTGTTGCAAAATTGCTTGATGTGTGGAAAACCATACATCTGGTGTCAGAAGTCCAAACAAGAATGTGTGGGAGCCCCAGCCTCCTCCCGCCAGCTAGCTAGGGTTTGATGGAATAGGGGAGAGGCTGGAATGGGCACTGGGACCAGGGACCAGGTTTCTCTGCTTGCCCTGGGTTGAATTGGGTGGAAAAAGGCAATCTAGATCTCTCTGCACCTGACTCATGGGAGACTATAAGCTCCTCTGCTATTTTCAAGTTTGTTTTCATGGTTGCTTTGGCTCAGCTGACAGACACGTGAAAACAAGTATGTTCCCACGTGTCTGTGCCTGCAGAGGGAAACCTGCATGGCTTGGTGCCAGGAGTGAAAGGAAGAGTGGTGCTGCCTTAAAGCCAGTTCTCATCTAAGAGGAGGTAGGCTGGCTCCACTCTGGGAGTGAGAGAAGGCTTATCAGTGCCCAGAGGAGTTTTTTCACTTCGCCTCCAATCCAGACTCTGGAAGGGGACCGGAACAGGTAAGGCAGGAGTTTTGGATGGAACTGTGGAGACTGGAGTTTTCCCTGAGAACTACTTACTCTTGAGTGGCTGTGGTTCCCTTACTCTGAGCTCCATGAGGTAAGGTTCTGGCATCTCCATCTTTGTTAAGTAGATGAGAGGCTTCTGGGAAGATGATGTACTGATCTCATTCTTATCCCTGGAAATTATCTCTGTGACCTTAAAAGACTGACTCCTGGGTGGGAATCAAACGGCTTACAGGATTCCTTTATCCAGAACATGAGGGGGGAGTAAATAGGTGATCTGAATTCCTGATTCCTGGGGCATAGGAAGGTTCTTGTCTTCCTCTGACAGATTCTGGGTTCTTTATATGAAGATTGGTGTGGAGTCTAATTTTCCTGAGGTTTCTGGACTGGCCCAACTCTAAACCAAAAGTAGTAGTGTGTGTGCCATCTCCATATAGGATGCCTTCCGATGCCAGGTCTGTGGATAAGAAAAGTCATGTAGCTCCGATTGAGTGTCAGAATTCCTGGGTCCTATTCTGGGAGAATCTCTTTGCAACCCAGATGGTAGTGAGAGGCACATGCTGAGAAGGAAAACAAATAAACAGATAGCAGTTGAGCCCCAGGTTAGGGTGCCCTCTGTGTGTTCTTTCTCCATCTGGTCTTGTTGTCTCTTTTTCTGGGCACTTTAGAAAAAGAGATGTGTTGAACGGGGAAAGCAGCAATGAGGGAAGTAAGGTGGAAGTGGTGGACTTAGCAACACACAGGTGTGTATTTTCATGAAGATCCTCTCCTTGGTCTAGTCTTTGTAATGGCCCTGGTCTTAGCATCTGCCCAGTCCTTCTCACCACCTGCTCATATTCTTTTGTATTTTTTGCTGGCCTGAGAGTAGCTACAGACTTCTCTGCATGTGGCTAGATACTGCAGGAGTTCCTGTTTATGTTTGGATGGAGGTGAGTGGGTTTGGGCAGTGAGGGACCTATCAGGCTGGCTAGGCTGGGAGTTTGGTCTCTGCAGGTCAGGTTTGCAGCTTGTTGTTGTTGTTGTTGTTGTTGTTTTTAAGTTTATTTATTTATTTTGAGAGAGAAAGAAAGAGAGAATCCGAGGCAGGCTCTGCACTGTCAGCACAGAGCCCCAGAGCCCAATTGGTGCTTGAACTGATGAACCGTGGATCATGACCTGAGCCGAAATCAATTGCTAGATGCTTAACTGACTGAGCCACCCAGGCACCCCTGGCTTGCAGGTTTTAAACTGACCAAACTAGACTCTGTAGCTCAGGGGTTAGAGCACTGGTCTCATAAACTAACCAGACTAAAACCTATACCTTAGGGAGAATCCGTGCTATGGCTAGGCCTAATGCCAACCTAATGGCTGGGTGTCAAGCCAGGTACCTCTTGTTGGAAGTTGCCATCGCCTGAACCCTGTCATTGTCATCTTTCTTGGGAGCACTAGATGTCTGCCTACCTCCATTTATTTCTCTGTGTCCTGTGGTGGGAACTGATACAAGGTCATTGTATTTAGATCTATGTGCAAGGCATGCCATTCCTACAAAAGACGTTGGCTTTGCAGTTCTCTAAACCAGAGACTCACCAGCTCCTGCCCTAGACTAATACATTTATATTCTTTGCCAGGCCACAGGAAACATAAGTGTGAAGGAGACATTTGCCATGGAAGCCAGGGAGCTGGAGAGCCCCACGCCAACCTACCATCTCATTCCTGAGGCCAGCCAGCCCAGAGAGAAAGATGTCAGCATGCAACCTCAACGGACCATGGAAACTATGCAGCTAAAAAAGGAGATCTCTCTGTTGAATGGGGTCAGCCTGGTGGTGGGCAACATGATTGGCTCAGGAATCTTTGTCTCACCCAAAGGCGTGCTGGTATACACTGCCTCCTATGGGTTGTCACTAGTCATATGGGCCATTGGTGGGCTTTTCTCAGTTGTTGGTGCCCTTTGCTATGCGGAGCTGGGGACTACCATCACCAAGTCTGGGGCCAGCTATGCTTATATTCTAGAAGCTTTTGGGGGCTTCATTGCCTTCATCCGCCTTTGGGCCTCCTTGCTTATTGTTGAGCCCACCAGTCAGGCCATCATTGCCATCACCTTCGCCAACTACATCATCCAGCCCTCGTTCCCCACCTGTGATCCCCCGTACCTGGCCTGCCGTCTCCTCGCTGCTGCTTGCATATGTAAGTCTGGGGTTTAGTGGGAAAGTATGTTTGAGGATGTGGGTTCCTTTAATAATGCTAATGGTACCTCATATTTGAACAGTATATTTTGCTTTATGGGAGGAAGAGAGGCATCTTACCTTTTGAAGAAGTAATTTCACCAAAGCCATTTAACCCTGAGAGATAAGTAAGGGTAAGGGATAGAGATGAGAGAGATTTGAGTCTGTTTGTGGCTTTTGGTGCCTCACATTCCTTCAACTCTTGACTGTTACAGAGTTCTGTGCTCCAGTCTATGTGACAGGTTGGTGCATGTCTTATTTTTGTCTTATCAGATGTTTTGATTGGAGTCAATAGCACTACTTGTGGCTTAACCCAGAAAAAAACCTCAGTGCTGAGGACTTTATTTTGCTTCCCAGCTTTTTATCTAAATCCAGTTAAAAAAAAGAAAACAAACCAGTTTAGAGGCTGAGAAAAGAGCTTCTCTAGATTGTTGGGGGTGGGGGGTGAGGGGGTCCCAAGGTCTTACCCATCAGGCCCACAGGACTACTGCTCCCTGCCACTTCCACTCTTTGCAGCCCATTGTGTTTTGTTTTGTTGTTTTTTTTTTTTTAATTTTTTAAATGTTTATTTTTTGAGAGAGAGAGATAGAACATGAGCATGGGAGAGGCAGAGAGAGAAGACACAGAATCCTAAACAGGCTCCAGGCTCTGAGCTGTCAGCACAGAGCCCGACACGGGGCTCAAACCCACAAACTGTGAGATCACGACCTGAGCTGAAGTCAGATGCTTGACCGACTGAGCCACCCAGGTGCCCCTCTTTGCAGCCCATTCTAAGCAGCAGGCACCACACCAAAATGGCTTTTTCCCATTGGTGTTTCAGATTTCTTTACACTGACTTTGTAAACAAGCTCTGCTTGTGGCCAGTGACAGGAAGGTGGCTTCTAGCCCATATTTGGGTTTCTGAGGACAGAACCTGAGAGATTCCAGTTCATCCCTCTTTATTTTCCTTTTTCTCTTACGAGGTGGTGAAGAGTGATTCTGCCTAAAGTCACTGAAAAGAAAGAAGATTGCTGTGAATTTACACAGTCTTGTAGAGCTAGTGTTTTAGCTGAGAAGTGGCCCAGAATTCCCTGTGTTCCTTAAGCACTGTGCTGCCAGAAGCACTTAATTATACTCTGTCCTTTCCGTATCTCTGCTTGCAAAAGCTTTGGCAGTGTGTGTAGTTTATCCACAGTGTTAAAAATAGGCTGAGAGTACCTTGGAGTTAGCAATAAAGGATTGTACTGTACACTGGGCCTCCTGACTTTAAGGATTTGTTAAAGACAATTGTTAAAGGGAACCCCTCCACATAGAGCCCCAGGAAGAGGGAAAGTGGGTACTCAGCTGTATTGTATGTCTGGTAGGGTCTGGCCAGGGCAACTCTGGCCAGACTGAGTTGTCTAGAAAAAGAATAATTTTCTGGGGTGCCTGGGTGGCTCAGTCAGTTAAGCATCTGACTTTGGCTTAGGTCATGATCTCACAGTTCCTGGGTTTGAGCGCCACATCAGGCTGTCTGCTGAGAGAGCCTGCTTCAGGTCCTCTCTCCCTCCTGCCCTCTCTCTGCCCCTTCCCTGCTCTCAGTCTCTCTCAGTTTCAAAAAATAATAATAATTTTCTGATTACAAAATATGTTAGGGGGTGCCTAGGTGGTGGCTCATTTGGTTAAGTATCTGGCTCTTGATTTCAGCTCAGGTCATGATCTCATGGGTTCATGAGATTGAGCCCTGCGTTGGGCTTTGCACTGACAGAGTGGAGCCCGCTTAGGATTCTCTCTCCCTCTCTCTCTGCCCCTCCCCCTCTCTCAAAATAAATAAACATTAAAGAAAAAATAAAATAAAATGTATTCATTAAGGAGAAAATTAACTTGACCACAAATCACCCATAATCTACCACCAAAAGATGAGCACTTTTAATAGTTAAATCATGTCTTCATTTCTTTCTTTTTATAGAATTGGTATCATACTTTGCATATAACTTTATATTCTGCATTTTAAATTTAGTATATCTTTTTTTTTTCGTTTTGTGGAATGTTCTTCAAAAGAAACATTTTTTAAAGTAGTGTCTCTTTTACTATTATTGTTTAGAGGTAATATGCAATGTTACAAGCACTTTGAAAATGCAAAAAAATAGAAAAAAGAAAAGAAAAATCACCCATAATTTTAACTCCCAGAGAAGTATTGCTGCTATTTGTGTGAAGTACCTGTGGTATTTTTTTTTTCCTGTGCTTATCTCATTTTTTACAAGTACTTTTGAGATCATACTCTGTGTGGTTTGTATAATACTTTTAAAAATTTAATATTTAATCCCTTTCATGATATATTCTTAGAAAACATGGTTTAGGGACACATAAGTAGGTTCCTGGCAGTGTGGTATAGTGGTTAAGTTCACAGGCTCCCATGCCAGACTGGGATTGATTCCAGCTTTACCAGCTGTTTTTCTAGCTGTTAACCTTAGAGTAGTTAGTTAACTGTTGCTTTGGTCTTCTCATTTGTAAAATGGAAATATCAATTGTACCTACTGAAAAGATGGTTGTGAGGAGTAAATGAATCAATACATGTATAGTACTTCTCTGTGTCTGGCATATAGTAAGTGTTCTGTAATATCATTATAAATAATATTGCTGTGGGAGTCTTTGTATATATAGTTTCAGAGTTTCTGCATCTTTTTTTAGGGTAGAATTATACAAGAGAAATACTTGTGTCTAAAGAAATAAACTGTTTTAAGATTCTTCATGTGTTACCCAATTTTCTTCTAGAAGGTTTTGTGAGTTTGTGCTCTTATCTAAGCAACTGAGAGTGCCTGTGCATTGGTCTCGTGTTGGCCTTAGGGTGAATTCCAAAAATAACCAAGTCGGGGCGCCTGGGTGGCGCAGTCGGTTAAGCGTCCGACTTCAGCCAGGTCACAATCTTGCGGTCCGTGAGTTCGAGCCCCGCGTCGGGCTCTGGGCTGGTGGCTCGGAGCCTGGAGCCTGTTTCCGATTCTGTGTCTCCCTCTCTCTCTGCCCCTCCCCCGTTCATGCTCTGTCTCTCTCTGTCCCAAAAATAAATTAAAAAAGTTGAAAAAAAAATTTCAAAAATAACCAAGTCAAAGGACACCTCTATATATAATTTTTCATGTGCAAAAGATTTTTATTTGCTAAATCATTTTTCCTTTATGATTTTCCTCATTGTTTTTGTGCTTAGGAAGCCCATCCCCATATCAGGAACTGCTCTTTTGATTGGAGAAGAGACCTCACTTCTTAGAAGTGCATTCATAGCATCTGTAGCTGCTTTTATTCAAGTGTACTTTTACCCAGAGTACTCAGGATCAGAATTCCTTCAAGCCCCTATCCTAGAAGCCCAGGCTTTTTCACAATGCATGTCTGTAGGCAGGAAATTGTCAGAGACGGGCCGAAGTTATAAAACCATGTCTCATTCTGACAAGACTTTGGAGTTCAGCTTGCTCCTCTTCTTGGAACTTAGGGTGTAGAATCAGGCTGATGCATCATCTAACAAATCTGGAATGTGCTGAAGGGAGTCTCTTTGGGCAGGGGTGGCAGTGAGAACGACGTGGTCTTAAGAGACAAAAATTTGGAAGAAACCAATTAGGTCATAATTAAGGGGGAAACCCCCAAAATCTGCACTTGTAACCATGGTGAAATTTAGGTGGGATAGGATAATTAAGTTAGTCTAAAATTGAGATATGAGAGGGGTCCACGTTGTTGTTTGGGAGACTGTCTACAGAAATTATAACCATGCCAAGCTAGACAATTAAAGTTCCATTCTAGAAGAAAGGGCCCAGATAGTCTCCATATAACAACTCCAGGTCAGAGCTGCAAGCTGGTGCCCCATGGGCCAGACTTGACCCACAGATATATTTGTTTGGCCTCGTGTTGTAAACAATTTTGAATTACTTGCCAAAATATGAAAATCAGGACTGGACCTTTCTTTTGAAAAACCAAAAGTTCTGGTAACCTTGGACCCACATTCTTTACTGACACAATCAGCTGCCTTTGAGTAGTGGTTGCTCTCTTTAAAGGAGCATACACTCTTTAGTCTGCTACAGCCCTCCACTCCCTCTTGTTTAATACCCAGACATTCTTACCATTGCTCACTTGTATTACCTACTTGGACCTTGAAGGTGTTACTAATTCAAATCCTGGCTTTATAGCAGCCCCTTACCCTATTCCCAGATTACACTGGCAGAGAGATCCTAGCAACTTTTTTTAAATTGCAGGCTATTTTAGCTACTTACTATCCTAGGGCAGTGGTTCTCAACTGGAGGTGAGTTTGTCCCCCAGGAGGCATTTGGCAAGGTCTGGAGAGATTTTTGGTTGTCACACCTGCTGGGAAGGGGTGCTACTGGCATCTAGTGGGCAGAAGCCAGATCTTATAGTACAAGCATCTTATAAAGTATAAGACAGCCTCATACAATTAAGCCTTTTCTAGCCCCAAATGTCAATAGTGCCGAGGTTGAGAAACTCTATTCTAAAGGTGCATTCTACTCCTATCTGTGCTGGGAGCTTGGACTCTTCTGTGGTGGGTGGGGCCTCAGGCTGCCAATTGGACTCAGTATGCTTAGAGGCTCTTACTCACTTAAGGGACTGTAGGGGAAAATGGCAGTTCTTTAGGTCCATAGGTCCCTTCTCTGGCCAGGTGACCAGCAGTATTCTTGATAACTCAGGTGCCCAGGAGTACTTGATTTGATTGCGATGTTTCTGTCTTAGGTGTTGTCATTCTGTTTATCTTTGTGGGATCCTGCCTGTTGTGTAGGCTCACACGTATCATTGGAGATTATTTGTTGTAAAGGTTTCAGTATAGAAGTCATTTAGCATTGACACTGGCATCAAAAGCAGAGGCTCACACTGAGATCCATTTCCCCACCCTCCACCCCCCATGGTTTGTTTGGCAAGGCCCACAGTGAAGAAGAGCTGGAGGAGGAGGAGCAGGAGCTGGAGGAGATGGGGGAGGGAGACTGCCAAGGGGGAGACGAGTGAAGAAACACC